CCCCAGAAAATAATTCCGAGTACTGCGCCTGCCACTAAATGTGAGCATTCCAGCAATCCTGTAGCACTAGCACAAGGATGCACAAGGCAAGAGGGCACTTTAATAGCTACAGCATTGAGAAAGCCAAGCAATATACCATGCTTAGCACTTGTAACCTGGCACTTCAATGGTACAGTCTTGCGAAAGCCACGCAGTACCATGCTTGTCTCAAGGCACACTATCACATTGAGTGCGTACAGTCTTGAGAAGGGGTCCTATGTGGCCGGCTCAGAGGTCCTAAGCGACCTCTTCCAAATCTAGTCCTATGAGGACGCCTGACCTCAGGTGGAAAAACAGTGAAATCATTTAAAACCTGCTTTCTGTGATGTCGTTTTTCCCTGCTCTCTCCTGCTGCTGTTCGCCAGCTGCTGGCTGTAAAAATCTGTAAAATGTACAACCAGGCCGGAGGCACTGTTTTTCCCGTTCTTCCATGCTGATAGCGTGGTTGGGCTTTTGGATTCATGTCAACCCGACAAAGAAGCTAGTGGCCCAAAAGCCAAAAGAAGAAACAACAGACTAGACATGGAAAAAGCCTTAGGCAAGATAGAAGCCGAGACCCGGAATGCATGTCACGTTTTGTCCATGGACGGTAATGCTTGACTCTCTTGCTTGACACTCTTGTAGGACCCTCTTGCTTGACAAACTTGTGGGACACTTTCGCTTGACACTCTTTGGGGACACTCTTGCTTGACACTGTTGTGGGACACGCTTGTAAGACACTCATTCCGGACAATCTTGTGGGACTCTCTTTCAAGGTCTTGCAGAACACGCTTGCTTGAAACTCTTTCCGGACACTCCTGTGGGACACTCTTGCTTGACTCTTGACACTGTTGTGGAACACTCTTACGGGACACTCTTGCTTGACACTTTTTCCGGACACTCCTGTGGGACACTCTTTCAGGATACTCTTGCTTGACACTCTTTCAGAAGTCTTGCTTGAAACTCTTGTGGGACACGCTTGCTTGACACTCTTGTAGGACCCTCTTGCTTGACAAACTTGTGGGACACTTTCGCTTGACACTCTTTGGGGACACTCTTGCTTGACACTGTTGTGGGACACGCTTGTAAGACACTCATTCCGGACAATCTTGTGGGACGCTCTTTCAAGGTCTTGCAGAACACGCTTGCTTGAAACTGTTTCCGGACACTCCTGTGGGACACTCTTGCTTGACTCTTGACACTGTTGTGGAACACTCTTACGGGACACTCTTGCTTGACACTTTTTCCGGACACTCCTGTGGGACACTCTTTCAGGATACTCTTGCTTGACACTCTTTCAGAAGTCTTGCTTGAAACTCTTGTGGGACACGCTTGCTTGACACTCTTGTAGGACCCTCTTGCTTGACAAACTTGTGGGACACTTTCGCTTGACACTCTTTGGGGACACTCTTGCTTGACACTGTTGTGGGACACGCTTGTAAGACACTCATTCCGGACAATCTTGTGGGACGCTCTTTCAAGGTCTTGCAGAACACGCTTGCTTGAAACTCTTTCCGGACACTCCTGTGGGACACTCTTGCTTGACTCTTGACACTGTTGTGGAACACTCTTACGGGACACTCTTGCTTGACACTTTTTCCGGACACTCCTGTGGGACACTCTTTCAGGATACTCTTGCTTGACACTCTTTCAGAAGTCTTGCTTGAAACTCTTGTGGGACACGCTTGCTTGACACTCTTGTAGGACCCTCTTGCTTGACAAACTTGTGGGACACTTTCGCTTGACACTCTTTGGGGACACTCTTGCTTGACACTGTTGTGGGACACGCTTGTAAGACACTCATTCCGGACAATCTTGTGGGACGCTCTTTCAAGGTCTTGCAGAACACGCTTGCTTGAAACTGTTTCCGGACACTCCTGTGGGACACTCTTGCTTGACTCTTGACACTGTTGTGGAACACTCTTACGGGACACTCTTGCTTGACACTTTTTCCGGACACTCCTGTGGGACACTCTTTCAGGATACTCTTGCTTGACACTCTTTCAGAAGTCTTGCTTGAAACTCTTGTGGGACACGCTTGCTTGACACTCTTGTAGGACCCTCTTGCTTGACAAACTTGTGGGACACTTTCGCTTGACACTCTTTGGGGACACTCTTGTTTGACACTGTTGTGGGACACGCTTGTAAGACACTCATTCCGGACAATCTTGTGGGACGCTCTTTCAAGGTCTTGCAGAACACGCTTGCTTGAAACTCTTTCCGGACACTCCTGTGGGACACTCTTGCTTGACTCTTGACACTGTTGTGGAACACTCTTACGGGACACTCTTGCTTGACACTTTTTCCGGACACTCCTGTGGGACACTCTTTCAGGATACTCTTGCTTGACACTCTTTCAGAAGTCTTGCTTGAAACTCTTGTGGGACACGCTTGCTTGACACTCTTGTAGGACCCTCTTGCTTGACAAACTTGTGGGACACTTTCGCTTGACACTCTTTGGGGACACTCTTGCTTGACACTGTTGTGGGACACGCTTGTAAGACACTCATTCCGGACAATCTTGTGGGACGCTCTTTCAAGGTCTTGCAGAACACGCTTGCTTGAAACTCTTTCCGGACACTCCTGTGGGACACTCTTGCTTGACTCCGGACACTCCTGTGGGACACTCTTTCAGGATACTCTTGCTTGACACTCTTTCAGAAGTCTTGCTTGAAACTCTTGTGGGACACGCTTGCTTGACACTCTTGTAGGACCCTCTTGCTTGACAAACTTGTGGGACACTTTCGCTTGACACTCTTTGGGGACACTCTTGCTTGACACTGTTGTGGGACACGCTTGTAAGACACTCATTCCGGACAATCTTGTGGGACGCTCTTTCAAGGTCTTGCAGAACACGCTTGCTTGAAACTCTTTCCGGACACTCCTGTGGGACACTCTTGCTTGACTCTTGACACTGTTGTGGAACACTCTTACGGGACACTCTTGCTTGACACTTTTTCCGGACACTCCTGTGGGACACTCTTTCAGAATACTCTTGCTTGACACTCTTTCAGAAGTCTTGCTTGACGCTCTTGTGGGACACACTAACAGAACACTCTTGCTTGACACTCTTGTGGGACACTCTGATAAGACACTAATTCAGGACATTCTTGTGGGATTCTCTTGTCAACACTTTTTCAGGGCATGCTTGCTTGACGCTCTTGTGAGACACTCTTGCCTAAATCGCTTGCTTGACACTCTTTCAGGACACTCTTCCTGACACTCTTTCCGGGCACTCTTGCGGAACACCTCTTCAGGACACACTTGCTCGAACACTCTTTCAGGACATTCTTGTGGGACACTCTTACCGAACACTCTTGCTTGACCCTATTTTAAGACGCACTTGTTTGACACTCCTTCTGGTCACAATTATGGGAGAAGAGGCCAGTCAGAATGTCTCAGAGTGGTTTCAGAGCGGTTTCAGAGCGGTTTCAGACCTATGCACGCAGTAAGGTTAACAATCTAGGTCAAGCAAAGGGCTACTTTGTGAACTACAAAGCTCGCAGAACGTACTTCCGAGTCCTACTATGTATTACAAAGCTAGCAGATCGTACTTCCCAGTGCTACTTTGTACTACAAAGCTTGCAGAACGCACTTCCCAATACTACTTTGTACTGCAAAGCTCGTAGAACGTACCTCTCAGCACTACTTTGTACTACCAGAAGTACCCGCACACGGCGGGGCGGAAGTTGCCTTAGTTGAAGTATAAAGAAGAATAATCTATAGGCTTTCTACGTGCGACGCAATCGCATCCCTACACATTGATGCAAGCGCAAGTCTCTCTTTCTCTTTTTCTCTCTTTGTCAATCCCCTGCACCTTTCTGAAGTTTCAGCAGAGTCTTGCATGTAATCTTGAAATGAGTTAGTGTTCAGAGTATGGCTGAAAGTATGAGTATGAGTGAAAAGAATGTGTATGAGTCCCCGAGAGAAGCTTCTTGTCCACTGGTGCCTGTTGTACAACTTGGCCACTTGTACGCTTCCCAGTACTACTTTGTACTACAAAGGGTCCAGAACGTGCTTCCCCGTGCTACTCTCTAATACAAAGCTTGCAAAGCGTGCTTTCCAGTACTTCCCTGTATTACAAAGCTTGCAAGTACTTCTTTTTTCTGCAAAGCTCGCAGAAAGTATTTCCCAGGACTACTTTGTACTGCAAAGCTTGCAGACGTACTTCCCAGTACTACTCTGTAGTACAAAGCTTGCAGAACGTACGTCCCAGCATTACTTTGTACTACAAAGATTCCAGAACGTGCTTCCCCGTACTACTCTGTACTACAAGGCTTGCAGAACGTGCTTTCCAGTACTATCCTGTACTACAAAGCTTGCAGAACGTACTTCCCAGTATTATTTAAGTGTGCTCCTACACTTTGTACATGTAGAGTTGCACGAGGCGGGAGGCGGAAGTTTCAAAAATATAAGAACCCATAGGTCGAGAAAGAAAGCATTTGCCTGTAGGAGGTTTGGGAAAGTGGTTGGCAGCTCTTTGGTCAAGCTTTGTTTGAGATCTCTTTCCTTTGCCATCACTTCCCTCAACATTCTTCCCCTTCTCTGTTTCTTTGTGCTCTCTCACTCGGTTCTCTCTCCGTTTCTGCGTGATTTTTAGGTGCAGTGGCAACTGTCTGCACATGCATGGATGGATGTAGTATCTGTTCTTATCAGTGTGACAACCAGGTTTCACATCGCAATCACCGCAGGCCGCTTAGGCTTCAAAGTAGCTGTCGCATGGCAGCGGAGCCCCTTATTGGGGGCAGGTGAGGCGTTGGTGCCATAGGCGTGGGGCAGAAGGACATCAAGCCCCTGGAACTAGTGTTGCAGTGGTCTCCCAATCAGTGCTTGGGAACTTTGTGAAGACCAGCTGCTTAGCAACTTTTCTTGGCCACCAACCTCATCCTGCTGAACCCCATCAATTCGATCCAGGAGTATAACGCCGAGATCTTCCTGGTTGCACTTTGAGTTTGAGCCCAAGAATGTCAACACCAGATCCAATGGCTACGCAATCTCCACAAGGTTCACCCTATGGATCTCCTCATGGACAAGCACCAGGAGTTCCATCACAAGGCTTTCAAGCTGCATTTCCTCAAGGGACTGGCCTATCCGAGATGGCTGAGTTGGCCAGAGCAGCTATCAATGCAGCAAACAATGCTGCTGAAGCCGCAAGAGCAGCTACACAGGCTTCAAGCTCTACAAGTGAGAAGAAAAGGGACCTCTACCACCTGATTCCAGACCAGCAACTTTCTCGCCATCAGACCCTGCACAAGAGGTGAGCCTATGGCGTGATTGGTTTTGGGGACTACGTCAATACCTTTTGTTCATCGACGGAAAATATGAGGAGGACCTGGAGTATGTGGAGCGCTCTGATGTTCAGGAGGTGGACTGGGACCTATTAGATGAAGAAGAGCAGCATCGAGGAAGGTTTCTATATGCAGGGCCGGTTGTTGAGCTTGGTGAGGAACATAGACAAGAGCAACGGTCTAGAGGCCCTGAGACAGCTGGTGATGAATTGCCAACCTAAGGCACGAAATCGAATTATGTCCATGCTACAGGGCATTATGGGGTATGTCCAGCATTCAACATGAAGGGCTCCATCATCGCTCAGGTGGTCAGACTGGAGGAGCACTTTACCCAGTTTGAGAAGCTGGGTGGTAAGCTCACAGACGAGATGTGGGCGGCTGTGCCCTTGAAGTGCATCTCGGGACCTTTGAAAGTTCACTTGAACTTGTCGCTGAATGAATCCTCCAGCTATGCCAAGATCAGAGAGGTCATTCGAGCCTATGACACCGCCACTGCACGTTTGTTCAGATGCAACCATCACTTCATTCCCTTTGCAGCCTCTCCAAGACTCTACTGGTACTATGCCTATGAAGGTGGACAGGATCAAGGGAAAGAGTGGAGGCAAAGGGAAGAAGGGCAAGGATGGGAAAGGGAAGTCGAAGAGCAAAGACCAGAAGGGCAAGGGCAAGAACCAGAACCAAGCACCTTGGAGCTCTACGTCGACTACCTCATGGACATCTTCATCAAAGGGCGGTGGAAAAGGAGATCAGAAAGGATCCAATGAGAAAGGCAAGGGCAAATCCAAGACCAAGGAGGTTGGAGTTTGCTACAATTGTGGCCGTCCTGGACGCATGGCAAAGGACTGCTGGAGGATCAGGCAGGTTGGAAGTCCAGACCCATCTGCCACAGTTGTGAGCCAAGCCACAGCCCAAGAGAGTTTGGGACCTTCTGCAAGTCAGGTCAACGCTGGTTTGTCTGTGAAGAGGATTACCTCGAGTTCAGATGGAGGCCAAGCTGCGTCTCACGAGACTTTTGACTTGAGATCGACAGGAGCTTCAAGCTGGGAGCATGTGAAAAATGAGGATCAGCATGTGAGAATGGTGAAATTCTTTTACATCGATGAGGAGGAAGACAGTTCAAAGCGCTACGGAAGTTCAAGGTGCTGCCCAGATTTATGAGGTGGGCAAGGGTGAGGTGACCATCATCATCGACAGTGGAGCTGATGCGCAGGTGTTTCCAATTTCGATGATTCACTGTGGCAAGAGCCATGATGGCCAAGCTGTTGCCCTTCAAGATGCCCAGGGTCGTCAAATCCCTGTTGCTGGCCAGAGGTCGATTGCAGTTGTGTTGGAGGACGTGAATGGAGCTGAGATTGAATTCCTCGACAATGTGATCTTTTCAAGTGAGATCACGCAGCCGATCTTGAGCTATGGGCGCCTGATGCATGCAGGCTGGAGCATCTGCGCTGAGTCCAAATGCCTCAGGAATGGTGCCTTCGAGATCCCGGTGGAGCTGCAAAACCACAGTTTGGTGGTGAAAGGCCATGTCAGAGCCATCAACTCTGTGGCCATGCCATGCTCATTTCGAGCAGTCAAAGCAGATTTGACTGAAGGTTTGCAGAACTATGTGGACAACGCTTTTGGATGGAGCAAGGAAGGCAGTCGATGGATTGGAGTTCATCTGAGTTCTCAACATCAAAATCCTTTCTTTGTGCCCAATATCGACTATGGCATCGAGTGGTAAAGGACGACGCTCATCAAGAAGAACCAGGAGTGGCTCATGGTGGAGTTCTGCGAGCGCGTCACTGAGATGTTGGATCCAGAGCTGCCTATTGATGAGACTGCAGGGTGAACTAGTGTGGTCACGTTCCTGACAGATGGCTTCGAGGACGTTGAGAACATGTGCTTTTCAGCTGAAGATGGAAGAGCGTTGGAGGAGCTGGAAGCTCTTGAGATGGAGATTCAGCCTTACCTGGACATCCCCATGGATGAGGAGTTGGAAAGGCGTGGGGCTGAAGTGGCTCTACATCCTGAAGCTCAAGCTGATGCAGGGGAAGTTCACGGTGATGATGGACCAGGAGCTCATCAACCTTGTGACGGTGGAAGAGTTCAGGATCCACCACTGGAAGTTGAACCTTTGCAGGAAGTCCAGATTGTGGTCGGTGAAGTGGTCCCTGCACAGATTGAGGTGGATGGGCAAGTTCTGACAGCTGCCAGCTAGCAACGCTGAGGGCTACATGTGGTTTCTACGGTGTTGCTCGTTCTGGAAGCAAATCGAAGTGCTATCATCGACTATGCCAACACCATGAAGACCATCGAGCTTTGCTCAGACGCTGGTGAAAGCCCCAAGTGACCAGGAGAAGGAGCTGCACGCTCTCACTCATACGCCCTATGCTGCGTGGTGCCCTGCATGCCTCAAACACAGAGCACGCCCTGACCAACACCGCAGATCTGGAACTTCACATGATACTCCTGTTCCAGTGGTGTCAATGGACTTTGCGGTGACCAAGAAGAAGGATGGATTGGATCCAAACCCTGAAGGAGCCGCTGATGACAAAGGAGCTCTATGGCTAGTTCTCACTGACCGCCACGCAGGGTACTTGGGATGCATTCCAATCCAGTCCAAGGGTCAGCTGCACTACATGACCCATGAAGTGTTGAGCTTCGTCCAGGGCCTTGGATACTCAGAAGTTGGCTTCTATGGCGACAATGAGCCATCGATCAGGCAGATCTTGAAGACTATCATCACCTCCAGACATGCCCTTGGATTGAAGACCAGGATCTACACCACAAAGGTGAAAGACTCAGCTGGCAATGCTTTGGCTGAGAACGACATCCAGAGGATACGTCAACTGGCATGCACACTGGTCGAGGATGTCTGTGAGAGAACTGGCCTGGTGTTCCCCTGTGAGCATGCCATCTGGAGTTGGGCTGGACGTCGTGCAGCTTGGTGTTTGAATCGATATCAGGTTGGCAAGTCCTTAACGGCGGCCTACGAGGTGACCCACGGCAAGAAGTACGCTGGTAAAACAGCATGCTTTGCAGAACCAGTCTATGCATACTGCAAAGGACGTGGGAAGGCCGATGCGACATGGAGAGTTGGGCTGATGCTTGGGAAAACGGAGGCCCAGGATGCTTGGGTGATTGGAGATGGAGTGGACGTTATGCTCAGCAGAAGCATCAGAAGAGTGGATCATCCATGGAGCCGCTTCTTGGCATACTACTCAGGGCTCCAGACTCACAGCTTTGTCTACCAGACCAACTTTGGTGGAAGAATCGCGCCGACCAAACACAAGGTCATTCCTCAGCGCCAAGATGGAAGACTCCTTCCAAAGATGAGTGAAGTGGAGGAGATACGCTGATGAAGAGGCACATGCTGTGTATGCCAATTCACGTGAAGGTCGACTGTAAGCCCAACGTGAAGTTCCAGAAGCATTGGAATCTTCGCCAGAGCAACCACCACCTGGAGTTGCTGTTCCTGTGGATGAACCACCAGAAGTTCCACTCCAAGCTCTCGGTGACCAAGGACCTCCTTCAGGACAATCCCAACCAAGCAATGCCGCTCTTCTTTCCAACCAGCATCACCACGATCTTCTGCGCTGGTACATCAAGATCCTTCTCAAGGAGCTGTTGAAGGTGAAGAGCCCAGTGCAAAGAGGACGAGGCATGAGATAAATGTGGCAAGGAGGATCATGATGGTGGAAAGACGTTTGGTGGAAATCAACCTCAACAACGAGAAGTACTAGCACCTGGACAATGTGGTGGATACTCAGTATGTCAGTGCCTTCGAGTTCGAAGAGAACGAGATTCAGGACGATGTGATGGCCAATGTCGATGAGATGGATCTGTTGTGGTCAGATGAGCCACTGGCAGGAATGCCTCAAGATCCAGATCCTGAAGTTGACCTCTTGGCAGATGCAGTGGAACTCCAAAGACTTCAGAAAATGGGTGTCATCGAAGTTCTTACACCCAATGATGCTGGCCTGAGTTCATTGACTACGAGAATGGTCTACGACTGGAGGATCAAGGATTGGACTGATCCAAAGACAGGCCAAAGTCGAAGACGGTGGATGAGGAGAGCCCGGCTGGTAGCACGAGAGTATGCAAACCATCGCCGAGATGATGTCCATTCTCCAGCTTCCAATGGACAGATCATGAGGCTTCTCCCTGCAATCTACCTGATGATGCTTGGAGTTGAAGGAGTTTCCCAAGACCAACTTCAAATAGGGGCACTCGACATCAAGGACGCTTTCTTGATGGCAAGTCAGGAGGAGCCGGTCCAGATCACCACCAAGAAGGGCAAGTTCAAAGTCCTGAAGAATTTACCAGGGCAACGCATGGCGGCAAAGGCCTGGTATGACTACTTTGCCGACTTCCTGGAGAAGAAAGGGGTGCAGTTCTCCACAGAAAACCCCTGCTTGGGCAAACGTGGTGACAAGCTCTTCATCTTGTTGCACGTGGACGACATGATGGTCAGTGGCTTCAAGGATGAGGTTCAGAAGCTTTTGAAAGAGCTCAAGACAGAGTTTGTCATCTCCCACAAGATTGCTCAGTTCCCTGGAGATGAGTTCGAGTTCCTGAAGAGGACCTATCGCCTCTGTGAAGATGGGTTGGATGTGCTGCCGATATGCTGAAACAATGTTTAAGAGCTTCAAAAAAAATATGGTCATGTGAAAGGCCAACAAGTGCCATGTGGAGATGAGGCTCAGGAGATCTCCAGCACAGTACTTCTTCCTCCTGATGAAGCTGCACTTTTTCGATCTATGGTTGGAAGCGGGATCTATTTGCCACAGGAGCGGATCGAGCTGGGGTATGTCATCAAACATGCAGTTGGCATCAGGTATGAGCAGCCCAACCTATGGCCACTTGCAGGTGATGAAGAAACTGGTCATTTACCGTAAGGTGAGCATGGGCAACTACAACCACCTTCAGATCCCTAGCTATGGCAAGGGTATCCATCACCACTATGATGGCAAGTGGATTGGTCAGGAGACCGCGTTTCAAGGCGAAGTACCAGCAGCTGCGTCCATTGCTTGAATGGCATAGTGCTGTGCCCTGGCTGTGCCACAGCAGCCGAGGACAGAAAGTCGTGAGCCTTTTTTCTGCAGAATCAGAGCTGCATGGGCTTGTCAGTGGAGCCGTGGATGGAATAGCTCTCAGAGTTTCCCTGGAGTTCCTGCTGAATGTGAAGGTACAGCATGTGTGTCTGATTGACAACTCAGCAACCAGACAGATATCAAACAAACGAGGAAGCAGCAGACTTCGTCACGTCTCTGGAAAGCTGCTATGGGTGCAGGACCAAACCAGTGCCAAGACCTTGGAGGTGAAACAAATTGGCACGGCGTTCAACATTGTTGACATCGGGACAAAGCCCTTGGGAAGCCATCGCCTTTATGCTTTGATGTTTTGGTGCAACCTCCGGGACCAGAACGGCAATCAAGGTGAAGGAGAACAACATGACCAAAGCCAAGATCATGCGTGTTGCCAAACTCCTTCAATCCTTTGTTCTTTTCAGCGGCCTTGAGCAGGCTAGCGGTGAGCTTGTGCCCTTCCGCATGGACCTCGAGACGGTCATCCTCTATGAGGAGAAGGTTTGGTTTTCCTTTGAAGTGATCTTCATCATGCTCTTTGTGGTCATGCTTGCGGGTTTCTTTTTCATGTACAAGGCCAACAGGAAGCTGCAGCAAGAGCTTCAACGTGTTCAGCATCAACAGCAACAAATGGTGGGACGTCAAGGAGAACTCACCATGGAGATCGCAATGCTGCAGATACATGTGAATGCGCTGCACGTGGCTTCAATGAGACTGGGAGGCTACGTGGATCTGAATGTGCCCATCACTGAAAGAGATTGGGACAATTTGAGGTACATTGAGCGTGGAAACCGCATTGAAGATGATCGAGTTTGCAGGCGTGGACTACGTCACCTTCGAGTCAGCACGAGAGCATTGCGCAGGAGGAGACATTCCACACCACCTGCTGCTGATCGACATCTACATGCTGATGCAAGCAGATCTCGAGATGGAGATGGTACTCCTCCAGAAGAGATGACCCAGGAGGAGTACAATCGAAGAATGGAGTCAGAAGATCCAGAAGACTGGCCAGCTGAACCTGCTGAAGAACGCCGACGACGCTACATGCAGTCAACAATGTCGGAATGCTCAGATCCAGATGAATGGATCCAGATGCACCACGGTGAGCCTGGGAGTGGACTCTATTTGCAGGGCGACGAGGAGGAGCACCCTACTGAAGATGAGTCTCCGGTGCCCAGTGAGCGTGACACTGTGATGAGTGAGTTCATGAAGCAGGAGTATCTGGAATGGCCAAGTCATGACTTCAGCGCTTCTCATGACAGAGCTCAACTGTCGGCACTGCAGTGGATCAACGACTTCAGCCAGAGGCGAGCCAGAGCAATTGCAGATGGGAACGAGCGATTGGCAGATTGGTGTCACAGCAAAATAGGCTTACACCAGCCCTATAGCAGGTCAGGCACGACCACCTTGGAAGTACAGAGATGAAATGGCCAACCAACATGGTAAGCCATTCCAAGGAGGAGTGCGTGACTTTTAGGCGCAGTGGCAAATGTCTGCACATGCATGGATGGATGTAGTATCTGTTCTTATCTTCAAAACAGCTGTCGCAGTTTCCCTCTCTCTCTCTCTCTTTCCCTTTGTGTCTGTCTTTCTGATGGATGTAGGCTTATGTTTATTTGACAGTAAATTGCCAGATGTTAACGGAATGGTATGCATGGGATAGTGTAAGGTTGGTATTTGAAAAAGCTATGATTTGCATCAAAATAAATCACAAGGATATGGAATCCTCTGGTTTCATGGTTTTCATTCAAAAGACGTAACACCTTCCCAATTTGGCATCACCTGCAGCGGAAGGGCCAGATGGGATATAAACCCCATATTTACTACACCTGCTGGGTGACCGGAAAATCTAAACTTCAAAAAAAAGGTGATGACATACCACCATTTCATTTACCACTGCCTACTAAAAAAAATATTGGCCCCAATATACCCCGATATCGCCGTAAACGTTTAGCCATGTGGTTTATAGCATGAGTATTGAGCACAGTTTAAAGGCGCTGTCAAGGCTCAAGAGAGATATAGAGGCTGTAGACTAGGCGCAGTACTGACTTGGCTAATTGGCCTGAGGGTGAAAACTTAGTTGAAAACCATGCCAGAAGCAGCACGCAGGATGTGTGCTCTCACCACTCTCATCTGTGATGCAGTGTGTGTGTGTGTGCATGGTTTTGCGCCTGCACGCTCAAGTTTGTCAAGGACAAAAGTGCAGCTGAGTGTGTGACACTGGAGAAGGCTAACATAGCAAAACAAACGAGAGCAAGATCAACAAAGTACAGCTGAAGCTGTATCTAGCAGAAACGACATCCAAAGTAAGCACTTGGACCCTCTAGGTGATCTTGGGAATCAACTTTTGGATTTGCTTCGATGGAAAGTGTTGGCTCGCCCACCACCACAACCAAATCATTGAATACCGAAGTCTGGGCTCAATACTTTTATGTTACACGCCCTCCCTTCCCCGGAGACGGCCGCGCTGATCCCTGGGGGGGGATGAACTCGGCTTTCTTTGTCTAGCCCGCTTTCATGTGGCAATGTATGTTCTGCCTAATCCGTACAGCGAAAGGCCATCGAGGGTACTACAGCCAGCCGTCTTTGCCTAGTCCACTTTTTTGTGACAAAATGAGCCTGTCTAATCCCTACAGCTAAAGGCTATGAGGGTACTACAGCACGCGGCCTTTGTCCACTGCGTACAGGAGTGCGCGTCTGCTTTGCTTCCCGTTGCGACCTCCTGTGTGTGTACGAGTTGCAAACCGTTTTCTAACATGAAAACCTCGCGGAAGTATTGTGCTTGTCACACAGAGTGTTTTTTGACATTTTCTCGGACACATGAGAATGTCACGAAGTGCCACGCCTGCCAGGCAAAACGACATCACAATCTTCTGACACCCTCAACATGGGTATGGCGACATCACAGCAAAACGGACATGTCGGAGGCTCAAAACGAGCATTTCGCGCGAGACTTCTTCGATTTTTCACATGTCAGAGCTACCAAGTCGACGTATTCCTAGGATTTTTCTCATGAACCTCAAATTGTGATATCTCAAAATCGACGTTTTGCCTAAGGCTTCCGTCAATTTTTGAGGAGATGTCGCAAAGCGCCACGCGTTCCAGGTAATTTGCATGTCGTTACGGCTTCATGCGCCCCTGCCAATGCAATTTGCAAACAAGGTGGGCCAGAGAACCCAAAAGCAAGACGGCGCACAGCACACCTTTTTTAAAATTCAGTGGTGCGGGCAGCTGTGCCCTGCACGACATCGACGCAATATCTTTATGAAGAC